TTGTTCATTAATGTTCTCAAATGTCTGAGGTCTTCACAGAACAACTTTAAAAATACTGAGATCAAATCACACTGGTCCATTGAAGGCAAGTAAAGTTTGGTTTTATTTCAAGCATTTAAAATGCTACACTTTTTAAGAGTGTCACTTGTACAAAATTGTCCTTCCACCTCAGAATTATACTTTGTGTTGGTCTAATAACATTAAGGTTTGTGGTTGAAACATGACAAAGCGTGAGAAAAGTTTAAGGCCCTGCTTGTTAAAACCAACAAAGTTAGGTATTTAGAAAAATTTGAGGAAGTCGGATACTTTCCTTCCCCACCAACATGTGTCCCTGTTGAAATAAACTGGAAACATTCCCTCTTCCTAATGGCCCTGATTAGGAAGATAGGCAGACCAACGGGGACCAGCCAAACCAGATTTCCATTTAGATTCGGGTCTGGAGCCTCGTGAGCCGATCCAACGGCTGCTGGGAAAATACGTGCGTTTCTGTGAGAAACTGCATCAAGGCGTGACGGATCATACAGTCAGGAGAGCCTTTTTTTCGCCGCTGATTCTGAGCAACATAGTTTTCATTTATCCTTTCATCTCACTCCCCTTCTTGCTCGTGCACGTTCTATGGCAGCTGTTCTGTTGTTTTATTTTTTATTTTTTTTCCCTCTTGTGCTTTCATTGAAATGCTGAGATAAATCCGCTTCGGTGAACCGGTCCAGTTCAGGACGATGAATCTCTCAGATGAGATCAGCTCACAGGGAGGTGTCGCCACATGCAGAGCCTTTGGTCAGTGGAATCGCTTTATTAAAGCAGTTTGTCATTTTGGACAAGAGGCAGGTCAGACTCGATGTCCTGCCTGTGTTTGAGGTAAAAAGGCACATCACACACTTATGCTTGGCCTCTGCATGCTGCTTTTGAGCATAGATTTGTTTGTGATCACAAACTGCTAGAACTCGTCCTAGAAATTGCCTATTTAAAGGTTACTGAGATTAAAGCCAGAAAAAAAGAAAAAAGGATTTTACATAATTAAAAAAAGAAGACCTTCTGGGAGTGCTAGAAAATATGTGTTCATCTTATCTAGTCAAAAATGAATCTAAGATGTAACCGAAACATTCCAGGAATCCTCATATATTAATCCAAAATTAGTGGGGGGGTAAAAAAAGTTCAAAAAAGAAACAGGAGGACTTCACCAACAGCCTTCTGTGAACTCATAAGACAAATGACTGGGAGAAGAACAACTCGCTCCCTAAAGCTCCTGCTTCATCTGTTAAACCTGGAGGTGCCTCTGTCGTGGCTGGAGCGAGTCTTTCTGGTAATAGAGCTGGCACGGTGGGGTTTATTGTTTCGCTCCAAATAGAATGCGAGCAGGGATGGTATAGGAGAGCCTTCTGCGTGCTCAGCCTCAGCCAAGAGCATCACAACTCTGCAGTCTCAGAAAGAAAAGCATCAAAAAGCTGAAGCCACTGAGGATCTTTGCAGGGTGAAAAAGGGGAATGTTATGGCGGTTCGTGGGTAAATAGCAACCCACAGACATGAAAGCATTTCTCTTTGGACTAGTTTATTTCAACTGGTCAACTAGTTCAGCGAAATGTGCAATAAAATATACATGACTTTTCTACTATTTTTTTGTATTTTGTTACAATATAACCACAAAACTCAGTGTAATTTCAATTGGGATTTTATCTGGGAGGTCAACACAAGGTAGCACATAAATGCCCTAGTCAAAGCCCAGATCTGAATCTAATAAAGAATCCATAGCAAAACCCAACATGAATTTTCACAGACACTCTCTCACTTTATTTGAGCTGTTTTACACAGAAGGACAGACACAAATGTCACGGAAAGACTCACAGACTGAAGCAAAATGTGTTTCTATTGACTCAGAACAATAGGTTTGTTTTTTTTGTTGGTTTTTTTTTCCCCATATTTTGAATATTTATTATTTTTCTGTCAACTTCACAGTCACAGGCCACATTGTGCTTGGTTTCATGTCTATCACATGAAACCCCAATAAATATATCGAACTTTGTGGTCACATGAAAAAAATGTTCAAAGGGAAATTATATCTTTTGTAAGGAACTGTTTTCAAAATGGGGGGTTTATAAAAGATTTAAAATGGGTAACAATAGTGACTCTTACTGTTTTGTCTTCACTTTGCCAAATGCATTAGCCGGTTCTTTCAAACTTTGTAGGTCGTCTTAAAAACTACTCATCTGCTTCTTTAAAATCGTAGATAAAAAGACAACTTTGTCAGACCAAAGTTTAGTTTCTTAAATTGTCACAAAAAGAAGAAGTCGCAATGACTCACTTAAGTGTAGAAATGGCTTTTATAAGGCAATTAATTTTTCTCTTTGAATTGTTTATGGCTGACCTGTGTTACAGAACGCACATGATTCCCCCCCTTTATCTTTGGATCGTTCCTTCTTCGGACGCCCAAATGAGCAGCTTAGCCGAGGACACAGGCTGTCATTAAAATAAGCTGAGCTTTTTGCATCCTGTGCTTTTGAGAAAGCCTGAGCCCAGACAGCAAGAGAGGGGGACTGGGAGCTCTCGGTTGGGTGTGTCGCTTCAGATTATTTAGCAGGAGGAACAGGGCTCCTGTATAATCCCCCTCCTGCTGCTCCTGCTGTGCGAAAGCAATGATAAGCACCACTACTGTCTACCGCGATACACCACTTCTTTATCCCCACCGCGCATACACACACATGCACAAACGCACAACAGACCAAGGGTTCAATGTAGCAAACAGCAGGTAATCAGCAAAAAAAAAATTAAAAAAAAATTAAGCGCAAGTGGCCCCATCTGGCCCTGTAGTGTCGTTGCCTGTGACACAGAGGCCCTCGGGTTTGTCCTCTGATGAAACTGCAAAATAAAGAGGTGCATTAGTGAGCTGTACCAGGATTGCTCCCAACATAATGTACCATTAGAAGGTCATAATCTCACAATCTAAACGGCAGGCCAGAGAGCGCTCAATAATCATGAATTATTAAAGCCGTCGTCCCTGTTTACTTTTCCTCGCCTGCAGGAGTGCACGTAGTTATGCCTTTGTTTGATCCATCAAAATGAAAAATAAACTCAGATGCCACCCATAATGTGTTGACCTATTTCCCTTCATGCAGGCCAAAGCATTTGTTGCGAGCAGGACGGTGTGTTGTTTGCATGGAAAACCTAAACATGTTAATTTATGCTACTGAAACTTTTGATTTAGTGAAAAGTATCTTAAAATTAATTACATTTATCAATCATTGTTTGTTTAATGTTTTCAAAAGTGTAAGGAAGCTTTGTTAAAGGCTCACAGAAACTGTTCATAAGTCTGTTTTGTTCTAGCTTTAATGGCAAGGCTAGTCCTTGCTAATAGCATCATTGCTCGTCTGTTGTATTGTTGCCCTCACATCCTCTCATGCACACTATGTGCAGGAAATAGGGAGGAAAGACATGCAGCAAATGACCCGAGACTGGAAATTGAATCCAGGACAAACGCGTCAAGAACCACAGCATCTGCACAAGGTGCAATGCTTTACCAGCCAAGCCATCGCCTGCTGGACTTTCTTATTGCGAAAGGGAAGTTGTCTTTTCCACTATCGCTTTGAGACTGTTTGGGTTTCACTAGAAGATTGAAGGTAATCTCCTTATTTCCTTGCATAATTGAATGCTTGTTTGTAATGGCAGTTTTTGAGTTTTCCTGGGATGGAGACTGACTTGTCCATGGTGTCCCACCTCTTGCAGATAAGCACCGGTCCACCGGTTACCATGCAGGATTAAAAGGATAATCCAAGACTTTTGGACTAAAGCTCTGTGAATATGTTAAAAGCAGAAGGTAAATAACTATTTGTTCCAGCAGAAGGTTTGTTTGAGGTTGATAGTGAAATGATTTGCCAACCAAATTTATTTGATAACATTTAGAGCATTCTTGCATTCTGTGTGGTCTCTGCACCCAACTGAGTGTAGTCGAGCACTGTTCTTAATTGTTTCCTTTTTGGCATCAAAAGCACTGATAGCATATAGTCAAATGAAGGCGATCAAATAAAAGAAGTGTCAATTCATGCCTGCATGGCACCCATTTCACTCCTGGGGTGGGACACAAATCAGTGCAGTCCTGCGCATATGTAAAACAGTTCCCCATTCCAACTTCCTGTATATGCATAAAAGCAATAGAAAACTTGGTCCAGGAACAACCGACAGTTTTTTTGTTTGTTTTTTTTATCTTTGATTTCTGATGCAACTCCTTTCTCATGCCCCCCTGGGCAACTGCCTATTTACTCCACATCAAAAACCTTCAATGAATATTTTTAAAAATATAAATAGAATATGTTAAACGTGTTTTTTTTGTTGTTGTTTTGTTTTGTTTTTAATCGTATTTTTTATTTTTTATTTATTTATTTTTTTTTTTTGGTCTTTTGTTTTGTGTCGCTGTTCCCTCCGTGGGTCCTGCGTGGTCAGGCAGCACAGAGGCAGCCAGCAGACGGCAGAAGAAAGGAGGAAGTGGAAACATCAGCACTATCTCTTCTCTTCGGGGTGGGAGGAATCGCCACTGAGTGGCACGCAAGACGCGCGCGCGCGGAGAGTCGCAGCGGCGCGCGCACACACAAACTCCGGACATCAGCGCTGTAGGGGGAAGAAGTGTCCTCCTCGACTCGACAGGTCTGTTCAGTCACGTTTCCGTTTTTTATTTTGTACATATATGTATTTGAGGCTTGCATTCTGCTTCGCCTTGCTTTGCGCTGCGTGCTAATTGCTGGCGAAGCGCGATGTTTTGGTTCTGTTTTGCCTCACAGAGGCTTTTTCTCCCCCGTGTGTGTTGGTTACATTGTAGCGGGATATTTCTGTGTTTCCTGTCGGATCTCTTCCTCTCTCTCTCTCTCCCCGCGGCTTTCTCCTTCACCCGCTGCATGTCGCTTACTTTGTGAAGTGGCCTTTAGCGGCTTTCGGGTGCCCTGTTTTGTTTTTTTTTTTTTTTTTGTGTGTGTTTGTTTTTGTGTTTGTGTGTGTGTGTGTGTGTGTGTGTGTGTGTGTGTGTGTGTGTGTGTGTGTGTGTGTGTGTGTTGACACGCACGCCTGTTGTTCTGAATGGAGAGCCGTCGCTCCGATTCCCAGCAGCTTTCAGACCCAAACGCGTTTCGGCCGCGGCGGATATGAATTAAAGTGGCGGTGGATTTGGCTCCCCGCGCTGCTTTTAGTTCTGGTTTCGTGGAACAAGTGCGCGGCGGCGGCGGCCGTGGAAGTTGCGTGTTTTTGCAGGAACGTTATGCGCAGCGAGGGAGCTGGCGATTCCCCGGGGCTTGTTTGCAGAACAAGTGCGCGTTTGTTGTTCTGGATCCAGAACGCGCAGGCACCGATAGGTGCCTCATTAACGGTCTTTAACTCCGGGCCCCTCAGGCGGGGCCGCGCTGTGGGCCACGCAGGAAAGCCGGTGAGCGTTAAAAGCCCCTCTGCTTTTGTTTTGCATCACGCCGACCCGCCTGTGCGGTGCAGTCGCGTTCTCGTCTCCTTCGCGCCTCTGCATGAGAAGTTTCCAAAGGCTTTGTCTTCCTCCCTGTCATATGCGTCAGATTTATGTGTCGAAAACTTTTTTTTCACTGCAGCACAGAAACACGATCATATGCATGTCAGTTGCTTGATGACTTCTGTAACCCATGCATTAAATCTGATCTGAGGGAAGCTTCCCCTGTTTGACCTGCTGATTTTACTGAAAGTATTTTTTTTTTCACTGCGTTTATTTAATAGGGTATATTTCACAACAAACTGATTTCAGGTGTGACAGCTTGTTGGTATGAGTAAAGCTGTTTAATGACAACGTTGATAATATAAGGTTCACTGTATCATGGCCCACACTTGAGAGCTCTAACGCCATCCGCTCTTGGGAGGCTGTGCACAAGATTTAGGGATGTATGTTCTTGGAAATGTTTGACTATTCTTTAAGAATCACACCTGTGAGGTAAGACACTAAGTGGTCTTTTGGTTTCTTCCAAAAGGATTGAGTTTCCAGTAAGTCTCCAATGAGCTTCCAAAGTGTTGAAGTGATACACAAATGATGTGAAAGGGGCGACATTAGGCAGTTTGATGTGCAGGCTATGGCCAATGATTTCATCATACTTACAATTCAAATGGACACAAGGTGACAAGCTTAAGACACTCACCTTCTTATCTGGGGTTCATAATGACAATGTATAGTAAAAACACTCCAGTGTCAAAGCAAGTGGCGCTTTAGATGTCATTTTTGGTTGTTTTGTGACCTCCTGGATGATTTTCATGCTTTGTTTAGTCTACTTCATGTAGTCAAGACAGGGATGATTTCTTGATGGTCCAGGTTTGGGAATAATGATGCTGTTTTCATTGTGGCTCCTTCCTGTGGTGGCTTCAGGACATAGCAATTCAACCAAGTAGTGCCCTTATGTTGTTTTGTGATTATCATCTGAAGTTCTAAGGTGGAAAAACAAATAGCTTGATTTATGTCTTGATAGGTTTTAACTGAAAGTCAGTATGCACCTCGTCAAACCAGTAATTCACAATCATGTCTGTATGTAAACATGTGCCTTCCATGTTTATAAAATATAAAATGCTTTCAGCATCAATTTCTTCTTATATCCCTAAAGGTTAATTGCCTGGACACAGAACAGGGCATTAAGGAAATATTACTGACTTCTTGCTTTTACCTAGAAAGCATTCATTCAAATGGCAGCTTAAAAACAGTGGAAACCGTTCCTTTCGTTATGCAACTTCAAATAACGGACAAAGTTGGAAGTTGTTCCATCTCCGTCTGTTTCTCTTCTTGTTTGCATGTTGCATTTCGTTTTTTGTTGCGTTCTCTGTAGTTTATGTACCAAAAAGAAATTACTCTTGGGAGCATACTTGTTTTGATGTATATCTGTGTAAGATGGGTTGCATTTGTTCATATGGAATGAGTGAAATAAATTACTGGTGCGCACTTTGTAAACATCTGTTTTAAATTTCAGATTTTGGATAAAATTTCAAGTCTTTTCAATTAAACGGGTTCAAGTCTGAGTTGATTCCCAAGTCACTGTTGTAAAAGACCAAGTCACAAATCACTTGACTCAAGTCCCCCACCTCTGAAATCTCCTAGTGCTGTTTCTGTTTTTGTTAGTGAGCAATAGCACTGTAGCACAGCTAGCTGTTTCAGGAAGTTAGGGCAGAACAAGAATTGAAACCCTTTGGGTCTTTGCTTCATAGCTCATGGAGTCGTTTATGGTGTGCTTAATGAATTTTGCACTTTGTGAACCACTTTGATAGTGACTTTAATGAGTGTGTTCAGTAGCTTCCTGCAGTCGCTGCTGAGGACATTCCTTTTAATACTCTTGATGTTGCTGTGATACAAGTTGATCTGGCGCTGAGTCATCAGCTGGTGGCTCAGCTGTGAAAAACTGGAGATATTGCCCTTTGCTACAGACATATGCATAAAATATAATGCATCCAAGCTGTGGAGCATTAGTTCTGACTTTGAGCACAGTTTCTATTGGGAACAAAAATATGTTTCCCTTCTTTCCCGTTTTTATGGAGACTATGCAATCTAATTCATTCTTCTGTTGGGCATCAAATGCAGACCGAGCCTCCAAGCCCCACTATGTTATTTTCTTAGCTGAATTTAAAGCAAGATTCCTTGGTTCATTTAAAAGCTTACTTTTTCTGCTAGAGCATTATCACCTCTCAGTCACCAGAGTTGTCTTGTCCATAATGTCTGTGGACCATTGAAATGCAGCAGTGTCTTTTCTTTTCCTTTGCGTGTTTGCAGACAAGAGACATCTTTACTTTAGATTAATGTGCTTTGCTTTTATGCCAATTAAAGGTTTTTCTGCACTAAACAGAAGCTACATGTACTCAATTAGCTAATCCTATTCCGTCTTACGAGACATAAATCTACTCGCTTGTCTGTTAAAGTAAAAGTAAGCATCCTGAAACAAATGATAAGCCATCACAACTCCTGGAATTGCACCGTTTCTCCCCTTCACACTTCCTTCTCTTGTTTTTAGTTATCTAAGCAACTTAGTTATAGTCTATTTACATGTCATGTTAGATACTAATGAGGCTCTTACTTTGATAGCTCGACATGCATGTTTTCTGTATCGAACCAGTCTAATGACTAAGACAAGTAAGGACCACAAAGAAAACTACAGGACTGTGTGCAGACACATCTTAGTTTCTGTGGAGGATCTGATCACAGAAAGTTATTGCTCTCTTCTTCATTTAATTAGTACATCGGGATAAAGTGTGAATTGCTGCTGCAGCTTTCTATCAGGGACATGCTTGAATGATTAAACGGTGACCCTGAGGAGTGAACTACGGGGAGATTAATTGTAAGGTCAGCGTCGTGTGGGTAGTTCTCATTTCACCAAGCTCGATAACCTTTTGTTCTACGTGATTGTGATTTCCTGTCGAGGTAGCACGATGAACTTGTAACTCACATCTTTTCAAGCTGTTCCTTAGGAATACTACTGATGGAAGCTGATGAGATACAGCATCTCAAACCGTGTTGGTCTAAAGGTGGCTTATTGCCAAGAGTTCTGACTTTGCTTCCCGGCATTTCAACTGACATTTTATTTAAACTAATGTGAAGTTTAAATGCTTTGTTTTAAACATTCAAGATATTTTAAATGCACTATATTCAATCAAAGTAGTATTACAATTTAGATTTTTTGACATGATAAACATTCAGTTTTGAACCTTACGATGACGACTTATTTGTCATCTTTGTGTGTTAGTTGATGCATATAAAATACAATGGTTAGTCTTCGCGGCCTCTTGTTTTGACTCGTATCAGAAAGTCCAGTGCGGAATTTGGAATATTATAAAATCGTTGTTTAGAGACCTTTTAGAGAAAGGTGTTTGATTTTGGCTAGTTCATAAAACTCGGCTGGTTAAGCTAAGTTGGGCAGAAGGTCCAGAAGTCTCTGGAGCTTAGCGGTCAAAAACCAAAGGTTCCCACAACATTACCGTGTTAAAAGTGTTCGGTCTTTATGCTTCTGTTACATTATACACATGGCAGATATTAAGAGTTCACCGAGTCGTGAAATAGACGTTATCTTACAGATGTGCTCAATTAAGCACTCACACCCGGACGTCTTCCTGCCTTACTGACAGGTTCTTACTTTGCCCACATAATTGTCTTTGAGATTCTCCACAGCTCTTTATTACATCAGAGATACGCAAATGGTGCAGAAAACGCCCCGTTTACAGAGGAGCACATGCAGAGTTTGAAGAGGGAAGGCTCGCCTCGGCAAAGAGCTGATGGCATTGAAACTGAAAACACTGTAATACCTCATTAAGTATTTAAACTTTTCAGGAAACAACCTTTGTAAACTTTTTTATTTCTCCTGTGTATTCTTGTAGCACTTTAGATATTTCAGTTTTCTGTTTTGTTGAGAGTATCACTTTTGTTTTTTTTTTTTGTTTTTTTTTGTGTGTGTGTGTGTGTGTGTGTGTGTGTGTGTGTGTGTGTGTGTGTGTGTGTGTGTGTGTGTGTGTGTGTGTGTGTGTGGTGGGTGGTGGTGTGTGTGCATTTTTATTTAGCCACGCCGAACAATTTGGAGAACCAGCTTTTCCTGCAATTTCTTCATAGCAAGTTTCTTGTCTTCGTATCTTTTAACAGCTTTACAATTCGAGCAACAAAATGTCTTTCCAAAAATCAACTCTGACCAGTTTTTCTATCCACAGCATGGTGCTGCCACCACCATGTTTCACGGTACATATGATGGTTTTAACATTAGTGTTCTGACCAGATCACTTCCTCCCATGTGCTTCCAGTGAACTCTCTGCAACTTTTTCAGACTTACCATTTTATTAAAATATATTAGAACAAAGGGAGCTGATAAAAAAATGCACACTTTTTTTTTAAATGGATATGTTCACATGAAGATATTGACTATCTTTCATCATTTTCTGTCAACTTAATTATGTGGATGTGTCACATAAAATCCCCTGTGAAATATACTTTTTTTTTTTTTCATGAAAAAGTTTCAAAGAGCATAAATACTTTTTTAAGGGACTGTGTGTTAAAGTTTGCCAGTTGTAGCTCACTCCTTTACTGAACAGGTATATACAGCTTAGCTGTCTGGCTTTGCATGATTCAGCGTGTCAGAAGCATCACATTTCACTTTAACAGCCACCTGAGGGACTTATATGTCAAAAAGAATGCACACCCATGCAAAAAGCAGTTTTATTAGCCTCAGCGAAGCTCATTTTCTTGTTAGCTGGCTTTCCTAAATAAATATTTCTTTACCGCTACGTGGTGTTGCACTTCCAACGACAGGAATGAACTGCCTGAGATTTAAAGAGCTAGGCAAAACGCAGCATCCTTGACTTGCATCATAAATTAAAAGCCAAACAGACGCATACAAAATTTTAAATTGAGTGCTTTGATTTCCCCCCCCCTTTTTTTTTTAGATATTGAGGTCTATT